CAGCCAAGGCTGGCTCTGGTGCCCAACAGCCCTGGCCGGGACAGGCAGAGCAGCCCCTTGTGGGTCTGGTCATCCCAAAGCCTGGAGACACACCAGCTGCACTTGGAGGAAGCACAAGGGATCCACACCTTTTCTACTGAAAAGAGGAATTCAGATGCCTTTTGGAAAGAGAGGACTGGTTAGGCTTTTACTCCATCCTCTCCAAGAGATGGGGCTGCACTTCCCTCTGTCATCGTCTCCTATTCTTGCCCATAGACTGATCACCAAAAGCCCCATGAGGTACCAGTCAAGCATCTATGCACACATAAGGATCTCCTTTTGAGAAGGTATTCAGCCTGATTTGACTTTTGAACCCAACAAGATGTGACTGAACCAATGCGATTATGATGGCGCAAACTTTTTAAGACTTCCCCAGCAACCTTTTCCTGGTCCTCAGCAAAACTGTCCTCTTCCTTAGGTGACGCAGAACAACCTCAGTACTCTGTTAACCAGAAGACCGAGAAGTAGGTATAAACTCACCTGCCTTAACCCATTGCAACTCCATATATTCCTTGTAAATCCCACCTAAACCAGGCAACATTTCTCACCACACCTACAAGGGCTGGTGTAAGCCTCTGGGTATGCATTTCCAGGCCATGGGGTTTGGCCAGCCGGACACTCCATCCCAAAACACATCATACCAGAATGCCATGGGAAGTGGAGAAACCCTGTGCAGCATCAAGTTGACTTGCAATGCTTCAATAGATACTTAAGAAATGGAATTTTTGGGAACTTTTTGAAAAACAGGGGGCCAAACTCAGAGCCCACCTGCCTAAGGAGACCATATCCCAGCACAGCTTGTGCTCTGCTAACAGAGATGCACTGGGTTGGGAAGAGTCGGAGGAGAGGACTTGAGAAATAGGTCCGTTGTGCCCCCTCTCCCAGAGTATTATTTTTCTCTTGACTGCTTGCAGGAGAGAAGCGCAGGAGAGGTCCTGCAACCGCCCAGGGAAAGTCCCTCCTTCCCTAGAGGTGGTTGCCTACGGGAAATTGAACCAAGTTGCCTTTGCTGATATCTAGGTAGGGTGGGTCTTTTGTGGCAGCGAACAGCAGATTAGCATTTGGGACAATAAAACCCTCATTGGTGTTTAACACTTGCTCACATGGACATCTATGAAAAAAACTGCCTCTGCTGCTCTCTTTCCACAATCCCATCAAGCGGTGATGCCCTCCCTCACCCTCATCAGGAGTTACCTCTCTTGCATCTAAACCAACAGAGAAAACACCAGGTGTGGGATTTCTGCAGGGTGAGGTGGGGAGGGCAATACCTTTCACTGGTCTCCTGCCCTGATTATAAGCTCTTTGCGGCAAGGACCTCCCCACCTCCTGTAGGCTTTTACAACCAATCCCTCCACCAGATGTGGCTCCAGTGTTGATCACTCTTACCAAAAATGTGTTCAACAGACCCACAGTGGTCCTTAACTGGGAAAGTCAAAGCCTGTTTTAACGACACCTCTAATTCACTCTTCGTTTCTATCTTATGCAACAAATAAAACATGCATCCCATGGAAAAATGACTTGTGGAACAGAAAAACGTATTGTATGTGCAAGGAGAGAGCTATGGCTGCATGCCCATAGGGTCGCTTCTCCCCAGGAGAGCGAAAGGTGCACAGCAGAGACCTCAGGGTAGGTGAGCCGTGCTCCTCCGCAACGCGGTGACAGCATTTCCCGAGGAAAGGTGACGGGAAGGAAGCGTGGACGGGCGCTATTTATAGCACGGCCGGATGTCAGCGTCGTTTTGCATGAGAAACAAAAGGTGCTTCGCTAGCCCAAGACATGGCCCCTTCTGAATGTCACCGTCGGGGAGGGGAGAGGAGCCCACATGTGCTCTCAGAGGGAACTGGTATCATTTGTAAGACCAGCGGGAAAAAAATAGTCAGATTTCTGGGTACCAATGTGCTTTATCAGCTCTTTTATAATAGCTGTGTTATACGAAGTAGCAGCCAACCCGAAGGTCAGCTACAACCAGGCAAGGCCAGCTGGACCCGTGCATCGTGCCGAGGTCAGCCTGGGGGGTGACTCCTCGACCCAAGTTGGATGTCCACTTGTGAGCAGTGACTCCTGCACATGACAGGAGGATGCACACCATGGTCACTGGGATGTCATCCTTCATGTATGAGGCAGGTCCTGGGCAGGGAGAGATGGTGCACCATGGACAGGCATTGTGGGGTCTGGGGTGCTGCTTAGTGCCAAGTGCTCACCACCTTCAGGAGAAGGGGAAAAGCTGCTAGATGAAAACCAGACCCAACTGTGCCAGGGCTTTGGGGGCCACACCTTCTTCTAACCAACAGAGCAGGACAACCTCTTTTCTTCTTGCAAATCTACTCCATGTCAGCCCTACTTCCATCTTTGGCTGCTACCAACTCCTTTCTAAGAAACCAGCTCTTCTTCCCTTGGGTCCAGACATCCAGTTGCTTCCTAACCCCCCTCCCAACCCACACACCACCAAACGGCCCTGCTCAGCCTCTCCCAAGCCTCGCTGCCTCCGATGCCCCACCCACGGTCTTGCAATTTTGAGTCTTTTGGTATCCAGATGGGGTTTAAAACAAAAAGCTCATAACTCGCAACTGTTTTGCTGGCCATAAAATCTCATCCTGAGGGATGTTTATGTCACCTGTGTGGCTCTGAAATGAAGCTTTTCTCCCCCAGAATGATGCCTGGGACATTAAGATAATAGCACTGCAATAAAGCGTGAACAGCTTTGTAATCTATTTGTGCTCCAATACAGTCTGTTTTGGGGTTTTTTTTCTATTCCCTTTTTTCCCCCCTATTTCTACCATGTTTTTCTCATAAAATAATCATTCTGAGACCTCACTTACTGCTAGAAATCAATTTTGAAGAGCAAGTGCTCTCTGGTGACATCTCAAACAGCACTAGAAGGACTAAAACTCCCCTCCTAGTCCCAAAAGCACCGCAGAGGCAAGGGGACCCTGAAAACCCCCAGCATCAAACCATGTGGCATGGGGAGAGGGGGGCTGCTGGGGTCCCCAGCTGAAGTCTAGGGGATGGGACCATGCCTTTTCAGCTTAAATAATTATTTAAGAGACTGTTGTTTTGTTTCGGTTCATTCCCTCAAGCTCAGCTTCTTAGCTTTTTGCAACTAAAATAATTATGTTTTTCTGTCTAAGCTTGGACACCACCATGGATGGCTGTGGAGGATTCAGGCAGGACTGCATCCCCTCTGCTCTTTCCATTTTATTTCATTTGTGACTGCTTAGGGCTGAAACAGTCCCGTGTCTCCTCCCGCATGATGCCATATCGACTGGGTTTTAAGGCTTCTGTCTCTCCTCCCGGGATATTATCCCAGTGCTACTTGGTCTGGGCTGTATCTCACCCCGTGATCTTCCAACCTCAGCCCACGGCAGTTTCCTTTGCTATCTCTCCTTGCCTTCTGTGTGGGAGGCAGGGATGCCCTGGGGGGCTGAATGCTTCTGTCTGCTGACGACTTATCTGAAGGGACCAGAAAGAAAAAGAAATAGATGTCTGGTGTGATCCCTCGGACCGTATGGTTTTTTGGGTGGGAGGAAAGAACCAACACGCAGTTCCATGGCTCTGGTCCAGCGCAGCTTTGCCCATGGGCCTTCAGGCAGGAGACCCTTTGGCTCTGCAGGTCTCCTCTCCAGCAGCATCATGCACTCTTTGGATGGCAGAGGAAGACCTGCTCAGTGAGCCGGGATGGGAGCAGGACGAGCCAGCCTCTGCTGTGATTTCTTGGGGAGCCCAGCTGCGAGAAAGCCCACCCAGCTCGCTCTTGCAACAAAGGCAGACTTCAGCTTGGTTTTAACCATGTTTTGGTGTTCACAGGGCTGCAACCCAGCTGAAACAAGACCTTTTTTTTCCCTAAATCACAAGACTAAATTGCCTTAAAAATTGCCTACAGGAAAAAAGGACAGAGCCCCAAAGAGGAGAGAAAACAGAGTTTGCTGCTGACAAAACCACCCTGCCCACAGAAGAATGCTTCTAGGATGCCTGAGCAAACTCTTTTCAGCTGTTTTTTGGTCACTCAGTAAAATCTGGGAAAACCAAACCATGCACAGAGTTAACTGCATCACGGCTGTTCACAAGTCAGTAAGTGATGGGGAGATTTGAGGACACACTCCAACTACTGTTACAAGTGTCTGTAGGACTCCCCCGAAAATCCCCCCGTGAGGCATCAGAGCTCAGACATGGACTTCAGATCACTCTAGGAGAAAAAATTGGCCACTTTTTCTCCTGTTCAGTAACATTAACCTTGCAAAGCTCTATTGCCCTGGTCGTGTTGTCTGAGCCATAGCAGAACACACCGGCAGAAATAAAGCTGCATGTGCAACTAACTCCCTTTTTCCCCACTTATTTTCATATTTAACCATAGTCACAATTCCTATCAAGGACTCTAGATGCTCTCTTGTAATTAAATATGCAATTTACACAATTAAATATCCAATTGACCCAATTAAATTAACTCAATGGACTGAAATCACCAATGCCACAGGAACTCAGCTGCCTATTTAGCACATCCCCTCCTTCAGGCAGACAGGCATTGGAGTCTTGCTGCAAACCCCTCTCAACCACACCCACGTTGCAGGAGACCCTGAAAGTCAGCGAATTTTGCTTTTCAATTGAAAGAGAGGATGCAAGTTGCAAGGACGCAAAGCTTTTGCAGATAGTAACTTGCCAGCTGCCTCTTCTATAAAGTGGGGGGATCTGGCTCTGCTGGAATAAATGTAAGGGGAAGAGGAGGTCCGTAAGATACTCCTGGAGTAGTACAGGACATACCCCAGATTTAAAAGACAAACCAGGGGGATGGACAGAGTCTGCATTTTCAGGACGTTAGTGCTCAAATAAAGGTTTATGCATTAAACCAATGCCAGCAGCTATTAAATAGCAATATTGTCCAAAGACACTCCATGAGACAGGGGTGGTGAGGATATGCAACGAGGAAGAGAAGATTAAAAAAAGCATTAAAGAGAGGTTTCACCTACCTCCGGTCGTTTCTCCTCCTTCTGAACAGTTTTTTGGTGTGTGCGATTTCAGCTTCATGAGGCAACGGATGGTAACCCTGTAAAACAGAGGGAAAAGCAACGATCAGTTCCAAGAAACAGGAGGCATGGATATGGAAGGGGTCAGAGCGAGACAGAGCTGTACACTCAACTTGTGAGCCTTATAAAAGAAACAGTTCGCATCCAAACATCCTTGCAACATCTCAGACCCTATCAAAGCAGGTCTGGAAATCCACAGACTTCTTGTACCCTCTCAGGGCCGTTGCAATGAGCAGGGAATGACGTTATCTGCAATTTCTATATGGGAGAAACCACACAGGGCAAATAACTGCACCATGTATAGGTGGATCCCCATATACACCATCTATAGGGAATTTACCCACACCACACAGGACACTGCTGACGCTGCTGCACCTAAACCATCCACTTTTCATTGGGTTGTTTCCTTTGTGTTTCTATATTTACCTAAAACCCAGCTGTAAAGATGTCTGTAAAGAGATGATGCTCATTAGCATTTTGAGGATACTGGAGTAAGGAACACGAGCCACAGCTGGCAGGTCTGTTGGGGCTGTGCCCCCATGCCGTTAGCAAGTCAACAACCACGTCATGAGCACCTCGCTGAGCCTACCCTCCGTGAGCTAGTCAACCCATGCCACCGCTGGGGAAGGGACGGGTGGCATCCACCTTACTGGAAAAAACTGAGATGACAAGGATGTTAAATGATTTGTCCAAGCCAAGCCAGTGGAAGAGCTGTGTGTAACTCAAGCTGCTGTCTTGTCCTCTCTCCACTGAAGGTGCCGACTCTCCGATTTGACATGTTCATCTGATAAGGGGGATGCTGTATTTGCCATCCTACTAAGGGCATAGTGAGGCTTTGTTAATGTGAGCAAAGAGCTCTGAGGTTCCTGGACAAAAGGCACTATGTAAGTGCAAAGTGTTATTTATTTTCCAGGGACCACAGAGCTGTCATAACCATAATGAATTCTATTTACGCAGTATTGTACTTCCCCGGCTGGCAATAAAAGCCCTGTAAAAGTCGCTCCTTTTATTTCCATCGCAATCTATCTCAGCCTCGGAGCTCCAGGCGCTGCTGGTGAATCACCACGCGTGAGGGGCCACGAGGGAGCAGCCTGGGCAAGGGCAAGGGCTGCATGGGAATGCGTCTCATCGAGCAGCAGCTTTGTCACATTGGCATGACAACATAACACACTGACTTCAAAAAAAGTCCCTCTCTCTCTGCATGAAGAGCCTTAAAAATGACAGTTAATTTTAGTAGCAGTTATTGAGATAATATTTTGAGTTCCTCTGGTGGAAGATGTAATGGAGGAGAAAGGTTGCTGGGGATGCTAATGGATTGAGGTTTGCAGGCCAGAGAAGGCATCCCTGTGTCCAAGACCAACAGGGTTTATCGTGACCATCCATCCTGGCCTTCTGCAAAGAGCCTGGAGAAACTGCTACTGCAGCAACCCTACAGTTCCCACGGCAGCTGGAACCTTTCATTTCAGAGACCTTCACTCTTTGAGACTTCAAGCAATGAAGAAGTCACCAAGCCCTTGGGTAAGTCCTGCTGCTGACTTGCACATCCCCATTGGAACCTTGCTTTGGGTGCAGTCTTGAAGCGTGCTTCCTGAGAAGGTGGTTTCCCTTTTAACTTTCTTCACTTTTAACTCTTCCAGAGAAAATCAGATGCACCATGATCACACGGTTTAACACAGGCATTAGAAAGCATGTTCAAAAGTAGTACCCCCTCTCGATGACCAAATTATCCTTCTCTCCCACTAAAACACCCTTAACACCCAGAGGTGCCACACGAGCCACAGCATCCTGCATGATCTCTGATAGCAATGGTTCAAGGGCCATCGTTACATGAAGTTGCCTTAGCTTCCCTGCAGATCTGCTCATCCAGCGAGGATCTGCTCAGCATTGCACGTTGTTCTGTGGTCCTCTGCTCATGTCCCTGCACCCAGCACCAGAAAGAACTCTCCTCATGCTCCCTAGTTGTCATCTCACCGCTCAAACATAGCCCATCTTTGATTAATAAGAGGTAGTTTGCGAGTAGGGAAAGCTGGAAACCTGCTCTCCTGGGGCTGTGTATGGGTTATCACCTAGTTAACCAGGTCTGACTTGGGCTTCTCCTGTGGTCAAACACCTCATGGTTAATTCTGTGTGGCATCTTTGATGTCTAATAGCTTAGAATCATACTGAACCTTCTTCATTACTAAGGGTTGTGGTTTGAGCCTTCCTCATCACTTATTTTCCCAATCACTGATTTTCAATGAATGCTGAGGAGGAGCTTAATATCTCCAAGAACTCCATTCCTCTGAAAATTTGTTTGGAACTGGCCAAAGGTACGAAACCGAATGAGAAAAGGAAGGGAGGGAGCAGACACACAGAGCCCAATCACATCAGCTGTGCTAATTTAAGAAATCAGGCTAAAAACAGTAGAATACTCAGTCAGGCTGTTTCCAAATGTTGTACTACCACAGGATGCTAAAGCTTGGGGTATTTTTAAGAATTTAAGCTGCATTGCAGACACATGTGCAAATACAATTACCTGGAAAAATGAAACTCTCTCTGTGGAACAGAAGAACCTAAAGCACAGATTTCCTCAACGCAAAGCCTTCATTAAGGTCTCAGGAGCTGCCTTTCTGCTCTTTCCGACCAGAAACCATACGTACGGTGGTGCACTGCTGCATGTCCTCCTTTCAGAGCATCCCTCTGCCCACCAGCAGCAGACAGCATTGGGGTGAGAGATGGATTAATTACACGGGAATAAGGCTCCTAATCCAAGGAGCACTCCTGGACACTGCCTGGGCCTGAACAGAGGAGAACTTTGTGTCCCCATTAGGAAAATCAAGTATCTCCTTTCTCCAGCTGAGCAGTTCCCTTCCTTAGTCCTAGTCACGAGACAGTGTTTTGGAAAAAAACAGTCACCGATCCCTACTCTTGTCTATTTTGCTGCCTAAACAGAGCTAAATTTGGAAGGGAGAAAAGTTGACTTTTTTTGTGCAGCAAGCTGATGTAAAAGGAAATATCAGCAACTTGCAAGAAGGCTGGAGTGGCTGGAGAAGACCGAGGGTGCTGCGTGGCTGGGGATGAGCTAGAGTCCCAAGGGCAAGGTGAGCGCCTTGATGACACAGCTTTTGGGTTTGTCTGGAGGCTGCTCCCCACTACGGGTCATGCAGGACGGCAATGGAAGTGCCTTCAATAGAGCTGGCTTGCTGAGGACAATGTACAGCTGAAATGCAGCTCTTCCATTTTGCAGCAGACACACTCTTTATGAAGCTGAAATCCCTGAACAGAGCCAAAGGGAAATGTCTTGCAAGGCAGAAGACCAGCCTCTGCTCCGCAATAGGTCTACAAGAAGACCGAGACAAGAGGGATGTTTTTTGCTCCTGCTTGGGCCAGAAGACACCATCAAGCCCAGGTGCTCATGTTTTTTCTAGGCAGGTTTGCAACTTCTTAATGGACAGCAAAATCACATGTGGTCTCCCTCCCACATTGGTTTTATTTTGATATTTATTTGCAGGTGGTTGGAGGAGAATGTAACCAACATTCCAGTGTTGCTGGTCCTGGAAGTGAGGGGTGTGGGAAAAGCAAAGAACAAGGAGCCCATGGTCTCAGGAAAGATGGCTAATAGGGGTCATTTTCAATTTTGGAGCTAAACACTCTGCGGTTTACATGGTGGGAAGCTTGGAGCAGAACCTGAGAACCCCATGGGACTTCTAATGCACGTACATGAAAGTCAAGTTTAAATCATAAACACACGCTCTAGCAAGAAAGGCCAACAGCTCTGGAGAAGAAGGGACGTTCAGGACTAGTCTGTTCTCTGGGACAGCCCCCTAGAGATCAGCTATGTTGTGATGGGCACACTCAGTTTTAGATGTTTTGGGGACAGTGGCTCTTGGAGAAAGGAAGGTGATGTCTGGCAAGCTTAGACGACTGTCATATGCCCAGCTAGCATATGCCAAGGCAAATCTGTCATCTACCGAAATTGCTGCAAACAGACGGCAGAAGGGAGCAGGTCTGACGACCACGCGTACTCTTTTTGTGCTTTACCTTCCCAGTGAAGGTGTCTGCCCAACCCTCAGCCCCGTGCACCTGCCTGTGGGAATCCAGAAAGCTGGCAGCTGCCTCTCCGCTGCCCCAGACCCATTTACACCAAAGTTTAATGAAAGAACAAACAAAAAGCTTTCAAGATCTTGTTGGCAATCTGCAGCAACCCAAGAGCCTCTGCCTTGCCCTGCACCTATACCTGCCCATCCCCAGCAACATCGCTCTCCTGAGCCATCCCACCCCACATCTCGGCCCACTAACCTGTGGGCTACTGGCCTAGGAGAGACACGAGGAAGAGGGGAAGGACCAGAGGAGGGAAATGGTTGGTTTTACAGCTACCCTGCTATGAGCAGGAGCTTTGCCATCGTTTTTCTCATGCCTCCTCTGCAGCAGCATCAGCTGAAGAAGCGGGAAGGAGGCAGCAGCTTTGCGTGTTTTACTGGTGATGGTAAATCACAGGGCAAACCACCAGGAGCTAAGCAGAAACAAGGCAGGGGGGTTGCTGCTGCTGGTCCTTCTGTGACCACCCTGTAGCAGCAAACCCCAGCGATTCCTTCAGCATCTCACAACAACAGGGATGGTCCTATTTGGGACCAAGTTACACTTTCCTTCCTTCCCCTCTGCTTTTCTGCATCTCAAGTGCAACTGTTGCCTGGGGTGGCCAAATTCATGGGCGTTTCACAAAGACTCTAGCGACTATGAGAGGTTAGGGTTCATTGCTTCATCCCTGTGGTCTTCATGTCTAATGCAGCCTGACTTTCAGATGTGAAACCTCACCCCACAAAGTGACTCTCTTCACTCATATCCACTCATTCAGCCTCTTCTGCAGACGCTCCCCATGCAGCAGAAACACTTCCAGCCCGTGATGGTCAAGCAGGCAAAGATGCCCGAAGGCCAAACAGAAACACTGAAACCCCAAGAGCAAACAAAAGGTTGGGAAAAGCAACCAGACTGATGGAAAAACCCAGTGCTGGGGTGATCAGAGAAGGAAAAGAAATGATTC